ACTGTTTTGACTACTGCAGCTTTTTAATATAGTTTGAAATCAGGAAGTGTGATTCTCGCAATCTATGAACAAAGATGTCATTCCACTGTGTCTTCCTTAATTTATTTTATCAATGTTTTATAATTTTTAGTGTACACTTTTTCACCTATTTGTTTAAATTTATTTCTAAGTATTTTATTATTTTTCCTGCTGTGTAAATTGCATTGCTTTCTTAATTGCCCTTTGAGATATTTTGTGGTTTGTACATAGAGATGCAACTGATCTTTATATGTTGATTTTGCATCCTTCAACTTTACTGAATTTGTTAATTAATTCTAATAACTTTTTGTTTGTGAGTCTTTAGGGTTTTCTACATATATAATTATGCCATCTGCAAAGAGAGATTTTTTTACTTTTTTCTTTCCAATTTGGATACTATTAAATTTCTTTTTCTTATCTAATTGTTCTGGCAAGAACTTCCTATACTCTGTTGAATAGAGGTAGAAAGTGTTGAATAGAGGTACAAAATCTCTAAGATCTCTACCTGATCTTAGAGAAAAGGCTTTTAGTTTTTTCCCAGCTTTTATAAGGTTAGCCATAGCATTTCTTTTATTGTGCTAACTGCGTTGAGAGAAGGTACTTCCATGCTAATTTTGTTGTGAGTTTTTATTATAAATGTAGGTTGAATTTTGTCAAATGCATTTTCTGCATCTATTGAGGTCACCATGTGGATTCTATTTTTGTTCTTGATAATGTGGTGTGTCACGTTGATTGATTTGCATGTGATCAACCATTCTTGCATCACAGGGATGAGTTCCACTTGGTCATGGTGTGCAACATTTTTAATGTCCTCTTGAAGTTAATTTGCTAGTATTTTATTGAGGATTTTTGTCTCCATGTTTATTAGAGATATTATTATGTTGGTGCAAAAATAATTGTGGTTTTTGCTGTTAAAAGTAATGGCAAAAATTACAACAATTTTTGCACCAACCTAGATTATAGCTTTTGTTTCTTGTGGTGTTTTATCTAAATTTGGTATCAGAGTAGTGGTGGTGTCAAAATGAATTTGGAAATGTTTACTTTTTTTTTTTTTTGGTTTGTTTGTTTGTTTTGTAATTGTTTAAGAAGAATTGATATTAATTCTTCTTTGAATGTTTGGAAGAATTCACCTGTGAAGTCATCTGGTACTGGGCTTTTATTTGTTGGAACGTTTGTGGTTGCTGATTCAATCCTTTTATTTGCCACTGTTTTTTTCAGGCTTTCTATTTCTTCATGAGTTAGTCTTGGTAAGTTGTATGTTTTAGGAATTTATTTACTTCTTCTAGGATATCCAATTGGTTGGTATATAATTGTACATAGTATTTTCTTACGATCCTTTTCTTTTCTCATTTATGTATTTTTGTTTTTCTCTTATTTTCTTAGTCTAGCTAAAGTTTTGTTGAATTTGTCTTATCATTTAAGAAACAACTCTTTTGTCATTTTTCTGTTGTTTTTCTATTCTTTTTGATTTATTTCTGCTCTAATCCTTTTTTTTTTTTCCTTCCTTCTATTAATTTTGGACTTACTTTTGTTTCCATCATTTTAGTTCTTTGGGGGTTATAAAGTTAGGAGTTTTATTTGAGACCTTTCTTCTTTTTATGTAGGCATTTATCAATATATATTTTCTTCTTAGGACTGCTTTTGTTGCATCCAATAGGTTTTGGTATGCTGTGTTCATGATCATTTGTCTTGAGAGCTCTCTCTCTCTTTTGTATTTTATTTTATTTCAGTGACAGGGTCTCACTCAATTGCCCAGGCTGGAGTGCAGTATGGTGTGGACAAGGCTCAGTGCAGCCCTGACTTCCCAGGCTCAGGTTATCCTCCCACCTCAGCCTCCTAGGTAGCTGGGACTATTGGTGTGCACCACCATGTCCGACTAATTTTTTATATTTTTTTTGTGGAGACAAGGCTTCACCGTGTTTCCCAGGCTAGTCTTGAAGCATTTTGTCCATGTTAGTCTCCCAAAGTGCTGGTATTACAGGCATGTGCCTTCATGCATGTCAGTCTTGAGATTTTAAGAAACTTTGTTTTAATTTTCTCTGTGATCCAATAGTTGTTAAAGAGTGTAGTTTAGTTTCCATGTATTTGTGAATTTTCCTATTTATCTATTGTCACTGATTTCTAGTTTCATTCCTTTGTGGTTATAAAAGATACTTGAAATGATTTTGATCTTAAATTTTCTTAAGACTTGTTTTGGAACCTAACTATTAATCTATCCTGAAGAATGTTTTGTGTGTTGTTAGAAGAATGTGTATTCTAGTGCTGTTGGGTGGAAAGTTCTGTATATGTCTATTTGTTCCTTTTGGCCCATAATTTTGTTCAAGTTAGTGGTTTATTGATTTCTGTCTGTACGCTATATACATTATTTAAAATAAAGTACTGAGTCTCCTACTATTGTTGTATTATTGTCGATTTTTCCCTTTGGATCTTGCTTTATATATTTAGATTCACTAATGTTGGGTGTGAATATGATTATAATTATTTTATCTCCCTGTTGAATTGACCCTTTTATCATCATATTATGACCTTATTTATCTCAACAAAGTTTTTGCTTAAGTTCTATTTTACCTAATATAAATGTAGCTACTCTTGCTTTCTTTTGATTACCATTTTCATGAGATATCTTTTTTCATCCTTCACTTTCAGTGTATGTGTGTCCTTAAACATATAGTGAGTATCTTGTAGACAGCATTTTATTGGTTCTTGTTTTGTTTTCTTTTCTGAATCCTTTCTGCCACTTTATGCCTTTTGATTGGAGAGTTTTATCCATTTATATTTAAAGTAATTATTTCTCACAGCCCTGGAGTCTGGGTAGTCCAAGATCAAGGTGCTGGCAATGTAGGTTCATTTTGAGACTTCTTTTGGCTTATAGGCAGGTGTCACTCTGTGTGCTTGCTTGGCCTTTCCTCTATGTGTAAATGCAGAAAGAGAGAGGGAAATGTCCTTTTCTTCCTCTTTTTACAAGCTGACCTACCCTATCAGGTTAGATCACTTTTATGATCTTATTTAACTTTATTTCTTTATAGACCCTGCATTCAACTACAGTGATATTGGAGAATTAGAGCTTCAACATATGAATTTGGAGTGGGGAGAAATTCAGTCGATAGCATATTAAATAATGCAAGAAGCTGAAGGTTTGTACTCTAACATTATAATAAAGAGGACACATGCATATAACTAACAACTTGCCAAAAATTAGAACGTTACTGGTTCCTCAAGCTACCCACCATCCCCAAAGGGAACCACCATCTTGATTCCAACACCATAGTTTTCTCAATGTTCATATTCTTTCTGTCTGGCTTTATTTTTCCTCAGTATTATGCTGATTAGATATATTCATATTGTTGCTGAAACAAAATGATGTTATTTTAGTATTGTTTAGTGATCCATCATTAGAAGAAGCAAAATGAAAAGGAACAATTTTAGATTTATTGTGTGGTCAATAATTGCCATCCACTCACCCCAAGACTGTAGAATTTTCAGATAGTAATCATGTCTAACTTTCCTTATTTTATTCCCAGATCTTGGTATTCTGATTGGTCCATAGTTGACACTGGATGAGTATTTGGTGACTTAAGAATCAATTATCTATCTTTGGGAGATAGGATAGGATGCGCTTCTATGGTTTCAGTTATCAGATCCATATGTATTTCTACGTACTTGAATCTTCATTTTGCCAAATAAGAAGGAAACTTCAAGAGAAATAGTAGAGGGAATAGGAATGCCTTTAAAGCTGTAGAATTCATTTCCCAGTTAAATGCATAGGCAATGGCTTATCAGATCAGACTGTGCTATGTGAACAGGAAGGAAAAGAATTAGACAGGTGGCAGGGATGAGAGAATGGCATGCAGTGGAGCAGTGCACGTTTTCATTATATGCTGTGATCAGCATGTGAGAGTTTCCTTTTATTAAAGGAATACAGCCAAAGATACCCAAACCTCAGCTCGCCTAACTATACTTCACAATAGAGTACCATGCAGTGGGTGAAGGGAACCTCGTGGATCCTGCATGTATAAGTTGAATCCCATTTAAAGTGGGCTTCAGGGCTTTCCAGATAACTCACAAGTGAGACAACCATCAGCTATTTGATGCTTGACATTCACAGAGGGTACTGATGAACAGGTTAGTGTAGATGCAGCAATAGAGCAATGACAAATACAGAAGGCAGAAATAAATAAATAAAAATCCTTCAGCCATCAGATGTAGGTTCTTAAAGAAGGAGTGTTCCTGTGAATTAGAGTAACAGCATGGTTACTTCATCTATATCAAAGCGGCCATGGGTCATTGCAAGCCTGAAATTGAGATTCAAATTAAAACCTTAAAATGGACTATAATTTTAATAACTATAAGAATGAAAAATACTGTAGGTGATTCCAGAGGTGATGCCATGAAAAAAATATTCAGCAATTATGGTTAAAAATCAATTACTAAGCATATTTTAATATATTATTTTGATAATTTGTAATTTTGCACTAAACCATTGTCATGTACTTTTGACTTTTAAAAATACTATTATACAGTATTTGCATTTGATCTTCAAAACAATCCTGTGAAGTAGGTGGGTACATCAGATTAAATGGTAAGTTTAGGGTCAAATGTCACTGGGCCAGTTACCTGGGCTAAGTAGAGTTTTGTGTTGTTGGGGCCAGTGTCAGATGTTAAAATCTTTCAGAGAAAATGTGTTTTTGTCTTAGACTACTATCATAGCATTTTGTGATGATGCGAGATATGGCAAGCATGTGAGCGAAAATGTCTTATTGTATTTCTGCAATTCAGAATCAAAGTTGCTTTTTTAAAAACATCTTTATGCCAGTGGCATATTTATGTAGCCATTTATCTACAAATAGATTATCTAGAAAATGTCTAAGACATAAATCTCAGTGAAATCATCCCAGCATACAGGTACAAGATAAGTAATTTGGCTTTAAATGGTCCAGTCTAGTGGAGAACTAGAAAGCACTTGTTTTGCCAGAAAGAATGTGTGCTTTAAAGAAAATAAGATGTTATCTTTATTTCTACTATGTCCACAGAAATTATAATTAGTTGTTTTTCTAATCAAGGTAATTTTAAGAATGTTAATCTGATTGTTACACTAAAATAGAATACAGATTGCTGAGAATTGTTTTATTATTTGTGATTCCATTTATTATTTTGTCACATGAACCTTACATTTCAAAATGATCTGTTCTTACATTTTAAAAAATTTGAATAATTTTTCTTCTTTTCTGTTAATCAAAACACCAAAAATGTACTTTGAAAATGAAGGTCTAGAAATCAAAAGTCAGAAATTTGATGTTGGAGTTAGTCTATAAAGCCATATTGCTGAAAAATATACATATATTTTCTTTACTACTAAAAAAAAAAGCTAACAGAGTCCTGTGAGTAAATCCATGGACTTGCAAGCTGGGATCCCATTTGGGGAAATAGCATTTTTACCACTTTAATAATGTTGTGGTTTTCTTGATTCAACTTTGGCTGATTCTAATTTTTTTATCTCTTCACATTAGCCTCATGGGGAAATATTTGTTTAATGTAAAAATCGTGGAAAAAAATAGAGAACTTTCCATGGCTATATTCACAATTTGTCAGACTTCAGAAACAAAGCATAAACATTGCCCAGGCGGGCCAGAGAATGCACTAAAGGTAGAACTGTACAAAGAAAATTAACATGGCTCCTTTGCAAAGATAAAAATTTATAAAGTATTTTTCATTTTTTGTTGTTTTGACTCTCTAATTCTGGATTGGAAGCCCTTTCTATATGTTATCTTAAAAACTGTACTCTCTATACTGTGGCATTTTCCAGACTATACTATAATCTTAAGCTTGTTTTATTATAACATTTGTACTATATTTTAAGTTCCATACAGGGACAGACTGTATTCATCTTACTTAACATTGTATTTACAACAAATGAGCACAGACTTTGGCACAACCTAAGTTCTTATTTACACATAAAGAGCTAAATGAATGAAGAAATAAAGTAAGAAGTGTCCTAAGATAATAATGGAAAATGTTAAATGAAAGTGAATATATTTTAGGGAATATTTAAAAAATTCTTTTCTTTTATAATCAAATCCTCTCTTCACTATAAACAGAAGTAAATATAGAAATTGATTGGGAAACCAAGGGTGAATACATGTGACAGAAGGAAGAGTTTGTACCATAGTGATTTAAATAAGATCAGCAATAGAGTTTGGCATAATTATAGACTGGAGAACAGATGTACATATTGAACTCTGGGTTTCTCATATTTTTCTTAATTAATGTAGTTAAATTATGATTGTTTTAGTGAATACTCAATTATATACTTCAAATATTATTAATAATTTTGGAATACAATGGTAAATTTGAAATTTATTTTGTTCATTTTTTGAGACAGAATTCTAATATATCGACAACATTTAAAAATAAATATTTTATTAAATGGCAGGAATTTCATAGGTGAGGTAAGTTGAAATTTAAAAGTCAAATGTAAAAAGTATAATTAGAAAATTAATTATAATGAGAATAGGTTATTTTAATTCAAAATATTTGGCTCATTAATATATAATATTTACTGATAAAATAAAATGTAAGCTATCCCTAAAATAGAAATAATACAATTACATGAAGAATTTGACTTTGGATTCAATATTAGGGAGCAAAGCATTTTAATTCAAATTTTCCTTCTCAAACTCATAAGAAACAAGAGAAAACAAAAGTAACAGAGAGAAAATTATGGTTTTCAGTGAGGCAAATATCTATAACATCAGATCCTTAACTGAGGATGAATATGTGTCAAATACATGTAATTAGGGTCAAAATAAGAAAAAGTATCTAGGATCAATTAGATATTAGGATCTTTGGCTAATTGCTATTTTGTATGCATAATAGACCTGAAAATTTTCTACATACCATTTCTCTATTCTTCTCTATAAATATACCCTGAAGTGAGCCTGAGTTGGGGTAGAAGGACTTTCTGTTAAGTTGATCACACCTCCCTTCTCTCTTTTATAATATGCACATCTTGGTCCATTGTATGTGATTGTGATTCTGGTATTTAAACTTACTTATTTTTCACATAGCATAGTCTCTGCATGCAAACCCATATTTCATCTGGTGCTCAAGAAAACACAAATCTCTTCCAATGCAGAACAAAAAATTCGCTTCATTGGATTTGCTGAGAAATGATATGCTGGACTTCAAGTGAAACATTCCCCCCAATTTTTTCACAGTAGATTTCCTATTCCTGATTTTCACTCCTTGAAATTATGAATGATGAGATTCTTTTGTAGACAAACCACTTCCTGATATAATCAAAAGTGGAAGAATGCCAACATACACAAAATTATAGTTTGGCATGGGTAAGTTTTTCAAGCACAGAGAAATTCAAAGAATATTTGCTCAATTTTCTATAAATTTTTTGGAAGTATGTAATTTTCTTGGGAACTCAAAATAAGGAAATCAATACAGATGAAGAAATTTAAAACCAATAGAGCAATAACTATAGAATAAAACAAGAAAATTTTTGAGAGAGTTTAAACATGTAAAAAATAATAGGCCATCCCAGATGGGTTCACAGATGAACTGTTTTACAATTCTATGGAATATTAAGAATGAATTTACACTTTTCCAGAACAGAGGACAAAAAAGGAACTCTTCCAAAATATTTTGTGCTAAGCTAGAATTATAGTGCTACCCAAACTTGACACGTAAAACACACACTCACATGTATAACTACACAACGGCCTGATGTTTAATTACTGATGCCGAAATTTGAAAAAAAAAAAAAGTTTAAAAATCTACAATACACTAAAGTTTATAAGTTGACCACAAAATTTTACTCTAGTAATTCATGTGTGGTTCAGTATAAAAGCATCCATTTATAACTTCACCATAGTCATATATAAAAGGCGAAAAACAATATTATCTTAATAGAAACTAAATTACATTTGTAAAATGTGTAGTATCAATTTCTGATAGTAACTCATAACAAGAGGAGAAAAATTAAAATTTCCCATAGCACGACTTTAAAAAGCCCACAAAACTCTTTAATTCCAAATTTTAAAAAAACCCTGCTTAGCTGAAATATGCAAATTTCTATCGAAGTATGAAATGAAGCAAGGATATACTGTTTGATATAAAACCATCACAAATTTTGTTTCATTCTGTCATTAAGAGATACTTATTTTATTTTTCTTGGTCTGGCCCCGTGACTGTTAATCAGTGGAAGCAGTGGCAGTTTCAAGGGAAGACTTAAAGAAAGCCAGACAGTTTTGCTTTTTTTTTTTTAAGACGGAGCTTTGCACTGTCGCCTAGGCTGTAGTGCAGTGGAGCTCTGCTACGTGAGAAATATGACCTGACTGCTAGAGAGACCACATAAAGAGACCAAGTGGAAAAACTTAGAGCAGAAGCTTTGTTTGTTTGTTTTTGAGACCGGGTCTGGCTCTTTCAACCAGGCTGGAGTGCAGTAGCACGATCTTGGCTCACTGAAACCTCCTGCTCCCAGGTTCAAGCAATTCTCCTGCCTTAGGCTTCCAAGTAGCTGAGAGTGCAGACTCATGCCACCATGTCTGGCTAGTTTTGTGTTTTTTTTAGAGATGGGGTTTTGTCATGTTGGTGAGGTTGGTCTCAAACTTCTGACCTCAGACAGAGTTTTGCTCTGTCACCCAAGCTGGGGTACAGTGATGCAATCTCAGCTCACTGCAACCTCTGCCACCTAGGTTCAAGAGATTCTCCTGTCTCAGCCTCCCAAGTAGCTGGGATTACAGGTGCTTTCCACCACATCCAGCTAATTTTTGTGTTTTTGTTCCTTTATTTTTTATACCCCCCTTTTTTTAACTTTTAAATTCAGGGGTACCTATACAGGTTTGTTACATAGGTAAAATTTTTGTATTTTTAATAGAGATGGGGTTTTCCATGTTGACCAGGTTGGTCTTGAACTCCTAACCTCAGGTGATCCTCCCACCTTGCCCTCCCAAAGTGTTGGGATTATAGATGTGAGCCACTGCGATTGGCCAGCAGAAGCTTTGAGACTAATTTTTGTTTTTTTATTTTTATTTTTTTTATTTTTTATGTTTTCTCTTTCCCTGTTGAGATGGAGCAGCCATCTCAGCAACTCAGCTGAACCTCCAACTGTTGTTACCTGAGTGCAACTGCAGGACAGAACCTAGGCAAGACCAGCACGTGAAACCCAGTTGAGCCAAGGTGACCAACAGATCTATAAGATATAGAAAATAATTTTTGTTTTGAGCTCCTATGAGTTGAAGTTGATTGTTATGGAGTAAACAAAAGCTGAAAAAGAACTGTTACTTAGAAGTTGCTCCTGTAATATAAAACTAACACATGAGGCATTGGCGTTAGGGCCTGGTGCAGAGTGGAAGGACGGAGAAACAATTGCTATTGGAGGCAAGAAAAAGACAACTTGTGCTATGAAGTGCTGGGAAGTCTGGCATCAGTGTTGCTGGAGGTAATGTGGAAAATTTATATATGCAGTTGATCCTCATTCATGGATTCTGTATTTGTCAGTTTGCTTAATTGGTAAAATATTTGTAATCCCCAAATCAATACTGTGGCACTGTCATTTGTAGACATGTACATAGCAGTGAGAAATCTGAGTCATCAAACACCATGGTCCAGTTGAGGCGGAACAGGGCAGTTCTCCTTGTATTTCAGCTCCCTTAGAATGTTCTTTTTGCGGTCTATTTAGTGTCACAATTTTTACATTTTTGTGCTTTTTATTGGTGATTTCACTGTCTAAAAATGCCCCCAAAGCATACTGGTGAAATACTATCTAGTGTTCTTAAGTGCTAAAAGGCTATAATATGCCTTATGGAGAAAATACATGTTAGATAAGCTTTGTTCAGGCATGAACACAAGGCTGTTGGCTGTGAGCTTTGAGGTAAATAAAAGTATAAATTAGCTAAAGTTTCCTTATACAGAAATGCACATAAAACAAGATCATGCATTAGTCAATGGACAAAAATACTGTGACTAGAGGTTCATGAGAATCTAACCTTGTATTTCCCTTAGGGGCAATGATTCAGTATTCATGAATTCAGTGTTCACCAGAAACTTGTAACTACCTCAAATAAGCAGAAATGGCTTATATATAAATACATACCTGTAGACATGGATAAGGAGATTTCAAGATAGAATGTTGGTAATGCTAACTGATTTCATGTATCTGAGCATAAGAAAGGAAAAAAATAGCATTCAAGTAAAGTATAAAAAAGTATTTCAAACCTGTGTCTTGCTGTTTGGAAAATCAACTCTTTCTTTGTCTCAGATTCTCTAAGCATCAGAATACTATTAAAACATAGTTTCTTTGTAGCAGTTGCGAATGGGAATTCACTCATGATTTGGCTCTCTGTTTGTCTATTATTGGTGTGTAGGAATGCTTGTGATTTTTGCACATTGATTTTGTATCCTGAGAATTTGCTGGAGTTGCTTATCAGTTTCAGTTTTTGGGCTGAGATGATAGGGTTTTCTAAATATATGTCATCTCATGTCATCTGCGAACAGAGAAAATTTGACTTCCTGTTTGAATACCATTTGTTTCTTTCTCTTGCCTGATTGCCCTGGCTAGAACTTCCAATACGATGTTGAATGGGAGTGGTAAGAGGAGGCATCCTTGTCTTGTGCTGGTTTTCAAAGGGAATGCTTCCAGCTTTTGCCCATTCAGTGTGATATTGGCTGTGGGTTTGTCATTAAATAGCTCTTATCATTTTGAAATATGTTCCATCAATACCTAGTTTGAGAGATTTTTAGCATTAAGAGGTGTTTAATTTTATCAAAGGCCTTTTCTGCATCTATTCAGATAATCATGTGGTTTTTGTCATTGGTTCTGTTTATACAATGGATTACATTTGTTGATTTGTGTATGTTGAACCAGCCTTGCATCCCAGGGATGAAGCTGACTTAATTGTGGTGGATTAGCTTTTTGATGTGCTGCTGGATTCAGCTTGCCAGTATTTTACTGAGGATTTCACATAGGTGTTTATCAGACATATTGCCCTGAAATTTTCTTTTTTAGTTGTGTCTCTGCGAGGTTTTGTTATCAGTATGATGCAGACCTTATAAAATGAGTTAGGGCGGAGTGCCTCTTTTTCTATTCTTTGGAATAGTTTCAGAAGGAATGTTATTAGCTTGTCTTTCTACCTTTGGTAGAATTCTGCTGTGAATCCACCTGGTCCTGGGCTTTTTTTGGTTGGTAGACTATTAATTGCTGCCTCAATTTCAGAACTTGTTCTTGGTATTCAGGGAATACAATTTAGAAGGGATTTGAAGGACCTTTTCAAGGAGAACTACAAACAACTGCTCAAGGAAATAAGAGAGGACACAAACAGATGGAAAAATATTCCATGCTCATGGTTAGGAAGAATCAATATCTTGAAAATGGCCATACTGCCCAAAGTAATTCATAGATTCAATGCTATCCCCATCAAGCTGCCATTGACTTTCTTCACAGAATTAGAAAAAAACTACTTTAAAATGTATAGAGAACCAAAAAATAGCCTGTATAGCCAAGACTATCCTACACAAAAAGAACAAAGCTGGAGGCATCACACCACCTGACTTCAAACTATACTACAAGGTGACAGTAACCAAAACAAAATGGTTCTGGTACCAAAACAGAAATATAGACCAATGGAAGAGAACAGAGGCCTCAGAAATAATGCTGAACATTTTCAACCATCTGATCTTTGACAAACCTGAAAAAACAAGCAATGGGGAAAGGATTTCCTATTTAATAAATGGTGTTGGGAAAACTGGTTAGCCATAAGCAGAAAACTGAAACTGAACCCCTTCTTTACACCATATACAAAAGTAGCTCTAGATGGATTAAAGACTTAAATGTAATACCTAAAACCATAAAAACCAAACAAGAAAACTTAGGCAATGCCATTCAGGACATAGGCATGGGCAAAGACTTCATGACTAAAACACCAAAAGCAACGGCAGCAAAAGCCAAAATTGATAAATGGCATCTAGTTAAACTAAAGAGCTTCTGCACAGTAAAATAGACTATCCTCAGAGTGACAGGCAACCTAAAGAATGGGAGGAAAACTTTGCAATCTATTAAAAAAGGGCTAATATCCAGAATCTACAAGGAACTTACATAAATTTACAAGATAAAAGCAATCCCATCAAAAAGTGGGCAAAGAATATGAAAAGATACTTCAAAAGAAGACATTTATGCAGCCAACAAACATATGACAAAAAGCTCATCATCACTGATCATTAGAGAAATGCAAATCAAAACCACAATGAGATACCATCTCATGTCAGTTAGAACGACAATCATTAAAAAAGTCAGGAAACAACAAATGTTGGAGAGAATGTGGAGAAATAGGAATGCTTTTACACTGTTTTGGGGAGTGTAAATTAGTTCAACCATTGTGGAAGACAGTGTGGCAATTCCTCAAGGTTCTAGAAATAGAAATACCATTTGACCCAGCAATCCCATAACTGGGTGTATACCCAAAGGATTATAAATTTTTCTACTATAAAGACACATGCACACATATGTTTATTTCAGCACTATTCACAGCAGCAAAGACTTAGAACCAACCCAAATGCCCATCAATGATAGACTGGATAAAGGAAACGTGGCACATATACACCACAGAATACTATGCAGCCATTAAAAAGGATGAGTTCATATCCTTTGTAGGGACATAGATGAAACTGGAAACCATCGTTCTCAGAAAACTAACACAGGAACAGAAAACCAAACTCCTCATATTCTCACTCATAAGTAGAACTTGATTCTTCTGCCTCAGGCTCCTGAGTAGCTGGGATTATAGGCATGCATCACCATGCCCAGCTAATTTTGTATTTTTAGTAGAGACGGGATTTCTCCATATTGGTCAGGCTGCTCTCAAACTCCTGACCTCAGGTGATCCAGCCTCCTTGGCCTCTCAAAGTGCTGGGATTACAGGCATTAGCCCCCAGCCTGGCCGTGAAGGAACCACTCTTCAAAAACCCTTAAAAAATCATCATATCTCATGAGAACTCACTCACTTTCATGAGAACAGTATGGGGAAAACCACTCCTATGATTCAATTATCTGCACCTGGTCCTGTGCTTGACACTTGGGGATTATTATAATTCAAGGTGAGATATGGGTGGGGACACAGAGCCAAACCATATAATTACATTTATTTATTTATATTGAACCAACCTTGCATCCCAGAAATAAAGCCTATTTGATCATGGTAGATTAGCTTTTTAATATGCTGCTGGACTTCGTTTGCTAGTATTTTGTTGAGAATGTTTGTATCTATGTTCATCAGGAACAGTGGCCTGAAGTTTTCTTTTTTTGTTGTGTCTCTGCCAGGTTTGGGTATCAGAAATAATGCTGCCTCATTGAATGTGTTAGAGAAAAGTCTACCCTCTTTAATTTTTATATTTGGTAGAATTTGGCTGTGAATTTGTGTCATCTATGATTTTTTTTTATTTTGAAACTCTGCTGAATTGATTTGCCAGTTCAAAGAGTTTTCGAATGAGTCTGTAGGGTTTTCTATGTATACAATTGTATCATCAGCAGTGACAGTTTGATTTCCTCTTTACCAATTTGGATGCCCTTTATTTATTTCTCTTGTCTGATTGCTCTGACTAGGACTTACAGTACTACGTTGAATAGAAATGGTGAAACTGAGCATCCTTGTTTTGTTCCAGTTTTCAGTCAGAATGTTTTCAACTTTTCCCCATTCAGTGCAATCTTGGCTGTGGGTTTTTCACAGATGGCTTTTATTACCTTAAGATATGTCCCTTTTATGCTGATTTTGCTGAGGGTTTTAATAATAAAGGGATGCTGGATTTGTCAAATGCTTTTTCTGCATCTATTGACAAGATCATGTGATTTTTGTTTCTAATTCTGTTTATGTGGTGGATCACATTTATTGACTTACATATGTTAAATCATCCCTGTGTCCTGGGTATGAAATTCACTTGATCACGGTGGCTTATCTTTGTGATATGCTGTTGGATTTGTTTTGCTAGTATAAATAATTAGAGAGGATTCCCTCTTTATTTTTTGGAATAGTGTCAATAGAATTGGTACCAATTCTTTGAATGTCTGATTGAATTCAGCTGTGACATGGTGTAGACAGTCATAAAACCTTCTGTGGAATCTAATTAATTTCTAAATCTAACTTTTCTTCATTCGTCAAAATAAGATAAATTTCATTAATTTAATTTTATAAAGTCTGCAATAAACTCTATTTGACATGATTGATTATATTTTCATATGTTGAAGATTTGGTTGTCTAATATATTTAGAATTTTTATAGTCTTGTTTGTAAGTAAAATTACTTTTTATTTATTGAACTGCTATCAGCAAACTTTGGTACACTAGTTTCATAAACGAGCTTTATTCTCTGCCACTGATATCTATTCCTACCTTGTTGCATTCACATTTTTCCTCATCAATGTGTTAAAGGTTGTAAGTACCACTACTTTTCCCTCCAACTACACAATTTCATGATGCTTTCATATCCTTGATCTTGATATTTATTTTCTGATATTTGTTATATTTTCCTTACATTTCTTGCATTTAGTCCAAGGGAGGAAGCCACTAACTTGAATGTACTCTTCATCTAGTGAGGAATAGGAAAGAGTTCAACTAATCAAAAGTATAATTTGAATTCTAACTATTTTTATTGGAAATACATTTTTACTTTACATAAATATGTATGCTATGCTCCATGGAGAAGATAAATTCCATGTAAGATGCTTTAAAATGATTTGGACATAGATTCTTATTTTCTAATAATTTTTAAATATGTTTCAAGGTGTATTTTCAGGGAAAAAGTCGCGACTTAAAAGTTTTAGAATGAATTTTGATGGACATTGTTCCTTCATCCATATGCAGTTGATGTATGTCTAGTTTCCTCTATGTTCATGTAAGATAAATTAGTCAAATTGGTAATTCGTATAATATTGAATATTCAATTCAAGCCATACATAAGTCAAAATGTAATACTTCATTAATTTCCATATTCTTATTTGATTTCCTTGCCTTTAAAAAGACTGGGGACATTTTCACTTATCCAAATTATTTTTATATTCAGATGCCCTGCTTTTGGATATTTATTAACATATAATTGATTAATTAATTGACAAAGAGGATGAAAAATTAAATATTAGAAGAAGAAAAAGATTTCTCAAGTATAGTTTGACTTTTTAAAAATGTAACTGAGATGCTAAATTGATAAGTATATATCTCTAATTTTTTAGTATCCACTGTACTCTAGGCCACAAAATATTCAGGCAATGCAAATCTGAATTGACAGTTTGACATATACCATGTTAAGAATATTTCTATAAATATTTTAGCATGAAACACTAAATAGATCAAAAGGAAAACTCAGTTTTAATTAAATGGAAAATCTTATTTTTAATGTAAAAAATTCGAAAGGAAAGCTTGGTATTGGATTAAAAGGAAACAACTCTTCTTTAAAAGAATATTCTTTAGAAACTTAAGCTTTATATCAAGGAGTTCTCAAAACGATTGTATGTGATGTTCATGAATCTATCATATGCTATAAAGTTGCTCACAGCAAGGAAAGTATAACATGAGACAAACACGTGAAAAAATATACTAGAAAAATAATTGAGTGATTTACCTTCTTAAAATTCTCCTAGGTAAATACAACCATGGAAAAGCAGCAATCAGTAAGAGCAGTTCCAATTTTTAAAAATCTGTGGAAACTACTGTTAATAATTATGTATTACATTCCTGGTAGACAAGTTAAATAACCCACTTAGAGTGCTTTTGAAGAGCCCCTTTGCACTAGCTTGCTGTAAAAACGTATTCATTTAATATCCTTTCTCTGCCAAATGGTTTTAAAAAATCATGTTTTTCTTTTCTATCTAAAGAGTTAACTGAATCAACCATAAAACTTATGCATAGCAATCTTTCAGAAATCCCAGTGGTCTCTAAGAATAAAAAGAGTCATAATGCCACTTTTCAATAATATTGCCATTCTAAATAATACAGGTACATTTACACATTGTGTATATAATATATCCAAAAGTAATTGGATACAAACTCACACTTGCCAGTACATCTCTAACTTCTGAAAATTAGAAACATGTACTCCACTAGATCCAAGTCTATAAATAGCAGGGTAACAATTTTATTCAATTGACATAGTCTGAAGTTAGCACAGCTAATGATTATCACACAGCGTAACTTTATGAGAGATATTTGTAAGCATGATTAGCTTTAAAACACAACAGTCACTGATGGTAATGCTGACATCTCCAAAACACACATTAAAATTGATTTGGTTTGTACAAATTCTCATTTCACACCACCTGGCACATTTTTCATGTTATGAAC